CTCTTCCACTCAAGCCTCAGCCCTCCACACCTCCTGCCCCATCCTGCCTCTGTGGACAGCTGTCAGAGTCTGGTGAGGGGCCACTGGGGTCTGGGTGAGGAGAGAGAGAAGAGAAGAGGGAGGCTGGGGGGGAGGGGAGACCCCCAAGGCCAGGACTCCCAGGTCCCCATCCCAGGCTGAGGGACCAAACTTCAGCTTCATCATGGGGTGCAGGGAAGCTGACCCTGGTAATCCCTCCCAGCCCCCCAGTTCCTTCCCACACCTCACTCAGGGATGTTCAACTGGGTGGCTCCGTTCTGTTCTCAAGAGATGAAGGAAGGGGTGTGTGTGCTGGGGGGTGGTGGGGCACTGAGAAGGGGTCACTGAGAGCTCTGAGACTCCTTAGCTGCTCAGGGCCCCTGACTCCCGGGAGGACCCTCCACCTCTAAGAACCCTCCGAAAATGTAGGGCACTTCAGTCCCTCAGGAGCTGAGATATGGGCCCCCAGCCCCCTTCAGGCCTGGCCTGTGTATTTAAATTGTGTGGGAAGGAGATGTCTGGGGGCCCTGGAGGCTGAGCAGAGGAGAAGGTGGCCTCAGGGCTTCCCCTGACCGAGGGGGCTGGGTCTCCTAGCAATGTTAGTAGTCACAACACTTAGCACTGATTGAGCACTTCATGCATGCCAGCCACTGTTCGAAGCACTTGCTAATTATCCTCTCACTGAATCTTCTCAGTATCCCTAAATGGCAGTATTCTTTTACTGATGAGGAAACTGAGTCCCAGAGAGGTATAGTAAGTTGCCCAAGGCCACACAGCTACTGTCAGAGGTGGGAGCAGCCTGGAGATTAGAAGCTGGGGTTCAGAGGGCAGACAGACAGAGAGGCAAGAAGGGGGCAGAGGACGGTAGACAAGGGACTAGGGAATAAACTGCTACTACTCTTATAACTAGTAGCTTAAATGTGTGGAGCGGTTATAATGTACCGGGCACAGTGCTAGGAGCTTTCCATGTGATAACTTCTTTGAGCATCACAGTAGATCTGTTATTGGCCTCATTTCAGAGATGAGAAAACTTAGTCCTAGAGAGGGTGAAACTTGCCACAGGTCCCACAGCTAGAATGTGGAGGAGGG